AAGTGCTTGGGGAGGAAGGCGGATGGCGGGCATGGCGGGCGGCGCCGGCCAGGGCCAGTGGCTGTGCCTTCCCGACCTTCCCCTGCCGGCCGTCGACATGGCCACGGGCTTCCTGTCGATCGCGGACCTGGCGAGGTGCAGCTGCGTGAGCAAGTCCATGAGGCGCCTGTGCCAGGTGGGGGGACGGCGGGGCAGGGAACACACCCGAATGCCAGGGGCATCCGGCGTGCAGGCATGCCCTGGGCCATCGCGAGGGGGGCCGCCGGTCGATTCGTGGTCTGCTGGCGGTGCTCGCGGCGCCTGGCGCGGCCCCGCCGTCGAGCTGCAGTTTTGCGCCCGCGTTTGGGGCGCCCGTCGCGAAATGGTGGCCCCACGCGGCGATGAGCCGCAGTTTGGCCATCCGTTGGCGACATTTCGACCTCGGAGCGCCGGCGAGGGTTGAAGTCAATTCGACATGACCTGCCCGCGCGGAGGACGGCCAGCGGGGCTCCACGCTCAGGACTCGTGTCCTGCAGGGAGGATCGCGTTTTGCTCCTCTCCTGGGATTTCGGACTTGCCAGCGCTTGCCCGAACGGCTTGATTGACGGACGCCCTCTGTTCGCCGTTGCGCGAGACCTCGGACTCACCAGCGGCGGCAGGATCCAGTTTTGGGGTTGTTCCTCTGCCGGTGGGCGTGCTTTCCAGCGGCGGTCGCGGTGCGTTTGCTTTTGCACCGGTGGCTCGATTTGGGCGCGGTGGCTGCGTATTTGACGTGCGCAGGCGAATCGGTCTGACCACCAGGAAGAAGTCAAGACGGGCTCTCACAGTCGTGCAATGCCCTCAGAGAGCGGTTCGCCCCTCTCGTGCTGTTCGTGAGGGGGCGATCCGTTCAGTTCGGGACTGGGCAGGCCTTAGGGGAACTGTGGCTTCCCTCTTGGTTTCTTAGGAACGCGTTTTGGCCGGTGAGTTGACTGGTTTCTGTCGGTCAATGCTGCAGGACGCCTTGGAAGGCCGCCGCTATGTTTCAACGAGGGACGTGACGAGCACATCCACCACGAAAACCTTGTCGGCGCTCAGGTGAGAACCGCCTGCTTGGCAAAATTTGTGGACGATGGAATTGCAGATTCTAGCACCATCTCGCCCTAACGACGGCAGCGAAAAAGAATCAGAAATTTGACCTGAGTTCGCACGCCGGGCAGCGGGGCCACGAGCGGCGTGTAGGTCAAGACACATAAATGTCGCCTAAATAGGAAATGCCCATGAGGCAAGCAGGTGTGCGGCGCAAGTGTGGGGCCGCGGCTCCGAACAAAGGAATATTCGCCTCAGCATGGCAACGGCCAGATGCGAAATTTGTCCGAAGCGCCTCGACTCCACCCCAAACAACCCCCACGCCGTGATTTGAAGCACAAAATGGCTCGCCGACGGCAGAAAGGGTTCGTTTGAATAGAGACTCTCAGACCGGCACAAATCTCAAACGTTGCTCTACAATTCGGAGCGTGTCTCGACAGGCTGGTGGCCCATTCGTGCAAGAGGCTGTGTGAGCTGGACGTTCGCCTGCCTCCCCGGGGTTGGGCCTCCAGCGTGGTCCTGGAGCCGCTGCTGCTCCTGTCCTGTTGGGCGGTCCACCTGCGGAGGCTAGTGCTGGTGAACGTGGACGTCACAAACGACTCCCTCTGCCTGCTGGCCACCTCGGCGCAGGGGCTCGAGCACTTGGAGTTGGGAAGCACAGAGCAGGACGTGCCCAACACGAGCGTTGGAGGTGAGAGAACATCAAATCTAAGTTTCTGTTCAAATATAGCTTTATTTTTTTTTAAAATTTTTTAAGTCTTTGTTCAAGCCCGATGTTATGGAATTGCTTCTGTCGCATTTGACAAAGCAGTGCCAATATGCAGGAATTTGGTGCTGAGTGTGGCACAAGGCTGCCCAACCCGGCTATTGTTGCGCTCCCGTGCCTGTGCTCAACATTGCAAAGGAACCCAAACGGAAAAGGAAAACCAAAATCCATAAAATAGAAAGGTGAGCAAGCACCCAGGAAAGAGTTTTGTTGTTCAATTCGATACGTAGCACAATATGGCGTTTGATACGGTTGTCATCAGATGGCTGCCCCCTTCAGGACAAGGTAGTTGAGGCTCTTTCCACATTGCAAGGAAGGCTGTAGAAGTCTCTGAGCACAGCAGACATACATGAGCTCTGGGAGTGCCAGATGGAGCTAACGGGGCAAGAACTTTGCCTTGCATTCCTCCTCTAATGCCCCATTCACCCCCTTGTGGATGTTTTGGAGGCCAGATTTGCAGCAAACGTGTGTCTTAATTGTATTATCGTAAGGTCGCAGCATCAAGAGCTCCAAACTACATTCTGGCAAGCTGCCAGGGGTCGACCCCTGGCAGCTTGCAAGAATGGAGCTGCAAGCACCCCAGTGTGCCTGTTGATGTCTGGTGCATGTGCCTGTTCCTGCAGATGAGGGTGTGACAAAATTTGCCAGGATGTGTACAAATCTTGAATCTGCCGCTTTCCTGCACTGCTATCACGTCGGGGACAAGGCCGTGAGAGCCATCGCTCGCTATCAACAAAAACTGAAGTCGCTCAGGCTGTGTGCCTGCCCTGAGGTGCGCACAGTCGTGGAAGCAACGAAGCACAGCACAGCTTCTGTCCGTGCTGACAATGCTTAATTGGCAATTTTGGCTGAAAGTGTTGGGTCATTTATGCCACAGACCTCACAACAAACTCTCCAGTTCTGTTGAGCATTTGGGCTAATTGGTTAGTTATTGGGGAGCGTGTGAGGAGCATTTTCAGCAGTAGCAATTCGACTGCAAAATACTTGTCAATGTCGCATGGTGTAGCGATGTGTGTCTGAAATAACCATAACTGGACCTTCAGCAGCTGAGTGCTACCCTTCTATGTATATGGTAGTCTTGCACTACGTAGTTTGACTGATGCCCATCAGAATGAGGACACATCATCGTCATCACGCCCATCATCTGTAAGACACACAGCTGCTATGCTGCTTATTAACAAATGTACTCAAAGGACTTCTGCCAGACATAAAGCCCCCCAGTTACTTCCCAATGCAGGGAAATTCTCAACAGCAAATCCAGTGTCAGAAAGGAGCGGCAATTTGCATACACGTTGCTCCAGTTTATGCGGACATGCATTGATAAGCAGCAAGAAGCCACAAACACAATGCTCCTGGTTATGTGGTTGTGCATCGCCACAGCTTGAAGTGTGTGGGAAGTACTCTATGCACTCCGTGTGAGTATCGTCAATGTGGACATCCTATCCGCACCTTGCTGGGCTCATTTGGGAAAGCTGGATTTCAGTCGCAATAATTGACCTAACGATTTGTTAAGACAGAAATCTATCCACCTGAAACACGATTGCACTCTTTTGGGGATCCTGCCAAGTAGTCAGTTGGGGCTTGTTTGCTTTGAGGAGTTTTCTGGTGGAATATACTTTGTGCGGAATTAAGTGAAACAAGTTGTTGGGAGGCTGCATTTGTATCAATTACTTGCTTGTTTTTCTTGAAAATTGCAGCCACAGCACCTACCATACATGTATTAGCTGCTGCCGAAAAATCAGAAGGAACGGTTAAGCACAGTGCATTCGTCAATGGCATTGAACCTGCGGCACTCCTTTCCAGAATTCAGAAACCCGCGAATGCATCCTCCGCCCACCAAAAAATAGGTTCCCGGGTCCGGGGTGGCCCAACACACACGTGCAGCCCCTTTTGGTGGACTTCAGAGCACTCGAAAGGCAGAGCAGCCAGCCTCGCTCAGGCTCTAACGCAACGATCGGCACCCATCGCGAATGACAGCCAGAGGAGAATGCGGATGGTTGTGCATCTCGCCACCGGTGATTGGCGGAAATCCCCACCATCGTCCACGGCGATGTCCGACATATCTGGGATCTTCCGTGGCCAACAGGTCTTTTGGCGTCTGAAGGCTAGCCGTGGAACAGCTGCGTGCACCAAAAGCTCTCCCTTCGTTGCGGATCTCAAATCAATGGCCTTGCTGGTGCACGGAACGCCTCCTCACGAGACGACATAAATCCCCCCAAACACGACCGATGGAGGGTGTGGATGCTCTATCGGGGACCCCACGTGGTGTATGGTGGTGTTCTTGCGTTCCGCAAGGGCGACGTAAAGCATCTGTTGCAGTGGCGTCTCTCTCACAGCGGCGTGAAAAGGAAATGCTCCTTGTGGCGGATGTCTGGGTCAGCCGTGTCCAGCGATTTTTCGTTGTTGTGAAGCGAATTGACGATCATTTTCTTCCAAATTTTCTGTGGTGGCATGAACACTTGCACCCAGCCTGCTCAGGGTGCCGGCTCCCTGTGAAAACGCCCTGGTTGTGAAGTTCGCCGATTTTCGTGTTTCCGATCCGAAACGGAAATGTTGAAATGGCCATTAAGACCACGGCCGCGATCGACGATCGAGCAGTGCAGATCTCGGTTCCACGGCCTCCGTGCTTCAAGAGGAAGGCCTCCGACCTGCCGCCACAACGGCAGCCGCAAGTATCCACTCTGCGCCGCGCGCCGACAGTCGCAAAGCAAACTGGTCAAGGGGCTGTTTTTGCGGGGGTCGACGCCAGGGTTAAGTCGCGAACACTTGAGGTGTCCAGGGCTCCACGCGGCAGACTAGCGCCAGCAGACATTCGTAGCGAATGCACAAGTTTGAACCAGTGCCGTCAGCCGCGAGGCATCCGGCAGAAAGGCATTTTTGTTACACTTCGACTTATGCATTTATAGTACAGGGTATCCTCGTTCGTTTACTTGCATGCCTTTCTGGCCCGTTCTGTTCGTATTGACTTCCCTTGCATTTCCCACGAAACCCAGGAATCCAACTAATCTCCCAACGTCCCACCAACTACTTCCCGTCCGTTCACCCTACCCCGTAGTCTCCCTTAGCCACTACTATTCCTGTCCGCCCAGCCGTACTAACATGTAGTCACCCGTAGCCACCTATCCCTTTCCGACTAGCCATTCTAGCACGAAGTCCCCCGTAGCCCCATTGATTCTGTGCTTTGCTGTGACTTTAATGCCTTCCCCGTCCCCTCTATATTGGTTTTTGTCTAATTATGCTTAATGTGTGGCCGCTCAGGAAGCTAGAGCACCCACACCCTTACACCAGCAGGGGAAATGTGGAGTCTTTGGAAGAGTCATGCGGGTGCAAAGTACTGCGATATGACCTGTACTTATCCGTTCTTTACTAAAAAAATTGACACGATGTAGTAATCTCGTAGATCGATCAATGCTCTGGCCAACTTTTTAGGGAAACATAGTAAGTGCGCGATGCAAAGTTGGCCTCCCAAACAAATTGTTTCATCCAATTCTGGACAGAGCAAGTATATTCTGGCTTGAGGGTTCATTATATTGTGGAATTTGCTGTCTTGCTCTTGACAAAGATTGCAGTGGGCCTTGGATGTGGATTTGTGTGCGCTCGTAATTGACAATTGGGTCGATGATTATGTGACCTCTTCTGTTGAAAGGTGAGATGTAAGATAATTCTCAAATAGTCAAATGGGTGCTTGGGGAATGCACCATTCGACTGCCTGCCACCATGTGTGCCTGGCTGGCTGATTCACCACAAGCTGACACCACACCAGATTGTGTTGAGGCTGCCCCTGCCTGACTGACCGTTTGCAGTGAGCAATGTTCCTGTTGAGGAAAACATCCTTCTGGTGCAGCGCTCAGTGAACAAGCTGCTGGTGACATTTCCTGCGGCATGCGTATAGCACAGGCAGGCAGGCTGACTGTGTGGCACATTTGTGTGTGTGCAAGGTGTCGAAGATGGGGATCATAGCAGCAGCCCAGGGGTGCACAAATCTGGAGGTCCTAGACCTCGTGGCTGTTCGACACTTCCGCTTTCATGCCCTTGTTGACGAACAGGTGGCCTCAGCTCTGGGATCATGTACAAAGAAATTGAGAGTAGGTGGCATTCACCTGGCTAGACACGAGAACGCCAGTTGGCAAACTCACACGTGTGTTGGATCATGTTCGATTGTGGACATCTGCACAACAAAAGTTGGGTCAGCTGACTTTCATTTAGGATCTTGGCATTGTGTGTATGTGTGCAGTGTATTGCGCCCTCCTTGTCAATCCTTTTCAACCCCATTGAAGCTATTGCTTTGCATTACTCATGCAAATTAGGAAGCAGCACCGAAGGCAATTCCTGAACAGCGCAAGTTGTAGTGCTGAGCTCAATGTGAAACGCGAGACCCTCGCTTGGGGAATGACATCGCAGTAGTCCAACAACATAGGTGGTTCGTTGGACTGTAGCTTGGTCTCCCTGCCAGCGAGATATGGTGATGTGAGCCTCAATTGACTTGAAACCACACAAGTGAAAAGCCTATTTGTGGGGATTGTCCGGAGACACGAACAGAAGCAAACAATGTCAACAAACTGTCACGATGGACCCTGCAGGTTGTCAACTGTGCGGCACAGATCATCTGCTTGCATTTCGAGCCTCTTGCATCCCACACTGACAGAATAGTGCCGTTTTTAAGCCCTTGGAGGCTTCAGCAACCCATCTCGTTGGTGGGCAGAATGAGGTTACCATACAAAAAGCAGTTTGTGGAGTGTGCCAAGGAAGATTGTGATCACTGAGAACTGTGTGCCTTTCCTCAAGTTCATGAAATTGGCTCGAGCTCTGGTCAGTGATTGCATCAAGCCAGTTTCGAGATTCCTGGTTTGGGATAAGCGATCCACTGTGGGTTTGTTGGCATTTCTGTAACTCTGGTCTTTTTTGTCAGCCGTCATTCCCTTTGCTCTCATCTGCACCCTCATGAATGGAATTGTTTTGGTACGCACATACATGTTGGCAGTTGGAGCTTCTTGCTGTCAGTACCAACTGCATAGACATCTCATCGAGATGGGATGTCAAACACCACAATGCAGGCAGATCCTGCTGCTGCTTTCACATGTTCTGCTTGGCTTCTTTGGCAACAGCAAACTGCACGTTGCCCTGAATGCATAGGACACGGGCGGCAAACGGGTGGGCGGCGATAAGCGGTAGCGCCGCTGGTGCTGTGCGATCTGACCCATTGTGTTTGTGGAAATGATCCGGAATGCTGCTGCTGCTGGTCCGGGAGCCAGGTGCCATGCTGCTGAAATCCGGGGCGAGAGTGCATGAATGTGCGATGATGGACAATCCATCATGGGAGCTGCATACCCCCATGCTATCTAACATAAACCCCCGCACTGTGCAGCGGTTGCCATGTTTGATAACATGGGGGGTGTTATCTAAGGGTCCCTGCGCTGTTCAACAACCCTGCACTATCCTCCATGATCTACAGCAGTATTCTGGAGCTGGTGGAATCAATACACCTGTGATGCCATCCAGGAGATCAGGCTGTGCGAAGAGGCACTGGGGGCTTCGCTGCTTGATGATTTCTGTTTGAAACCATTGGTTGCTGGATGCAAGTCACTGGAGGTGGTCGAAATGCATGGTGCAGATGTTTCTGACAATGCATTGATCATGGTGAGTGGCATGCTCTTTGAACCATGACTGGCCAGTTGCAGGTTGTCCTTCTGACACAAAACATAATCGCTGTGTGCGGTGTTGGTTGGTTCTGGAGTTCGATGGCCCTGCATGCTACTGGAAGTTAGTTTGCAGCTGGACACACCACAGGCAGAGACATGTATGCATGCTGCCGTCTTGCCTCGTTCAACATCTACTTCAGTCTGCATGGAAATGTGACACACGTGACTATGGTTCATATCTTTGAAAAATCACAGAGACATCCAGCCAGGGAGCATTGAAGCAAGTGCAACCACTGAAAAGATAATCAGAACGGCCATTAACCGCTGGCAGAGTAGCCTCTACTCTCACACAAGAATGCGATGTGCCTCGAATTGGGGGCATTCTAGACACTCAGAAGTTGGCTGCCTGCAGAACCACAAACATCAGCACTCCGCCGTGATTGGCAACTTGCCACTATTTAGGATTGTTGTTTGCATTTTCCTGAATGTTTCTGTGACGTTGAAACATCAACATGAGTGGGACTGGACACCAGTGCTCCAGATCTGTTTCTGAAATGCTGTTTCTCATGCCCTGACACAGTCCTAATCCTGGGCAGAACAGTGTGCCTAGAGCATCTTTATCGGTCGGTGCTGTTGCACCGGCGGAGTTATCCAGGAGCGGTTCTCATTGGCTGCTGTGCCACCTTGCTAAGGCGGCATTTGCCGAATAGCGCCGGTGCTACTGCTCCCCTGCGCGCATCCGCAATGGTGGGTGCTATGCCTACGCCGAATAGCATCACGGCAGCACTACAATGTTCTGCGCGAATAGCACCGGTGCTATTCTGGGGTGCTATTTGGCCCCGAACGGTGCTATTCGGGCCGCTCAGTGCCGAATAGCTCCGGGGTTGCTATTGGGGTGCTATTGGGGGTGCTATTGCTCCCCAGCCGTTAATGATGGTTTTTTGACGTTCGGTGCTATTCGGATAGCCGAATAGCTCCGCCGGGACAATAGCACCCACCGATAAAGATGCTCTTAGGGAACACGAGCTCAACAGCAGAACAGGTCATGCACAATAGTAGAGGAGCAGGGTTACAATTTGCGACAGATGCATACCTGCAAACACTGCAAAACGATGCAATAGCCATGGCCTGGAGGTTTGCATTGTCACAATGAATTCCAAGCTGAACGTGCCAAATCCTCACAGACACATTTTGAGTGCACCAACCTGGCTGACATCCCTTTGTGTGTTGTGTTTGTGTAGATTGGAGAGAATTGCCCCAAGTTAAGGGTCCTCGTCTTGAAGAACACCTGGGCGACGTATAGAGGGATAGATGCCATTGCTAGGGGTTGTCCACTTCTGGAAGGCCTCACCATAAATGGTATGAACTGTCACTGGCATTTTGGTTTGTGTCCAGCAGAATCCGATCAGGAGACATGCATCCCAACACGAGACAGCAAAGTGAGGCATACAATTAGCACTGCGATCGTTCTCCTGAAAGCTCTTGTTTGACACGGCGTTCTAGCAGCCTGTGCACTTCACATCCTAAGCCCCAGCCTGAATTGCCCTTGCCAACAGCCCCAAGGACTACAACATTCAAATTGAGGTCCACAGTGTGTTCCACACTCTTTGGCAACCAAGGAACAGCCACTGTAGATCAATCGCAACACAACAGTTTCACTCTTGTGAGGGTTATCCTTGTTGCATGGGAAAGACTGTCAAAGGGGCCCTGTGCTTGCAGTCCAAACACCACGCTCAAGTGGAAGATAGTAATTCTTTGTTGGGAGGTGGATGCCCACCCTTTGACTTTCGCTACACTTTTGTGCACTGCTGCCCTTGCCCTTCTCTTCACCAATTGGTGTTTGTTAAGGGGCCGAAAAATTGCTCCGATGTTTGAACGACACAGGAGAGGCAACAGGCGTCCACCTCCTGGTCATATTTTTTCGCTTGAACAGCTGTGCCACACATGCCGCGGACTGCAATCCTGGGGCGGCAAAGAATCGAATCTGCTGTCGGGGGATCCAATTGCCAGCCGTCATTCAATCAAAACTCAAACTGCATGACGCTTTTGACCCTGTCCACGTGACGCCTTCCGTCGCCAAAGACCACAGCGCCCCTGGCGCACCGCAACACCGCCACGCGACATGCACGCGAACCACACCCTCACCGCAGCAGCGCCTCGCAACCCCACCGCCCCCGGCGCCCGCGTCTCTGCCCCATCAGGGTTCTGGATCCGCATGAAAATCCTTACAGGCAACGTGAACAATCGACACGCTGGTCGTGTCACGTGTCTCTGCTGAACAGGGTGCTGGATACGCACCAACGGCGCCGCGCCGGACCCCATGGTGGGCTCCTGGGCCGCCTCCCTGGTGGCCGCCAGCGGCGTCTTCCCGCCCGCGATGGCCGCCATCGCCTCGCAGTTCCCCCGCCTGACCTACCTGGCGCTGTCGGACCTGGAGACCAACCCCGTGGCGTCGCTGGGCGCCCTGGCCGCATCGCCCTTCCTGCACCGCCTGCGCCTGCTGAGCCTGAGGTGGAGCATGCTGTGCGAGCCCGTGACGCCCGGCTCGGCCTTCGACGGGACCATGCGCGGCGTGCTGGAGGCCGCCGGCGGGCTGGAGGCCCTGGACCTGGCGGGGTACCCCGGGGACATGGACGGGGTAAGAATGCTACCGAGAGAAAGAAGCAGGTTATGCGGAGGGCACCCCCCCTGTTTTATTGAACCCTTCCGCACAGTATCGTAACGCAAGAGCAACATCAAGCAAGATTTTTTCGGACCAGCAACAGAAAAACAACGCTCTGACAAAAATTGTGAAGCAAAAAGCGTAACAGCAAAATTTCAAAATGCGGAAGTGTTGGACGAAATACGGTGAGCAAGTGCATGCGAGGCACTTTTCCACGGACATGGACGGGATGAGGGCATGCAGCGGTTTCGGTTCGTCGCCTCGCGTGTGCTTAGGTGCCTTGAGGGCGGTTTGGTGGTCGGTTGGTTTCGGTTTGCTGATAGCTTCCGCTTGGTTTGCGCTGCGTGGACTTGGGCGCCTTCAGTGCACTTCCGCGATTTGTTGCTCTTTTGCTTATTTACTTGTACATTATGTGTATATAATGTATTGCTCTATTGCTTGCTCTTGCCGGGTATGTGTGTTGCTGGGGGCAGCTGGTTGTTGAAGACCAGCGTTGAACATCGTGATGTTCGCCGATGCGACCACCGAGTTTTGTCCTTTTTTATCGGTTCCAAAAAGGGCAGTGATGGGGCCGCAGGTCGGTATGCGACAAGGTTGACATGCTGGCGAGTTTGTGCGTTGAGGCCATCAACAATGGCCATCCATGACTGTTCTTTGGTAGAATTGGCAACAAGTCACTGCTTGACACCTTCAAGGCCATCACTGAGCCGCACCAACGTTGCTCTGTGGTGCACAGGCGCTGCTGTCAGCATGCGCTGCCGCAAGGGGCCTTAAGACACTGGACATACCCTACACTTCGGTCACCGAGGCCGGCCTGCAGTCTCTTGCGACGTCCGGGTTGAAGCTGGTGGGCCTCAACCTGTCGTGCTGCAACAGAATCAGCGGAGGGGGGCTATCAGCGATACTGACGGCAATGGGGAATTCTCTCAAGGTGAGTCAGGCGATTAACTTGCAGGTGTCGCTGTTTGGATTCCAATATTTATGCGCGTTCAGTGCCACCTGACGCCCTCCAGTCTTTCTCCATTCCCTAAGGACAGACGCTTTCAGGAATGGCAACTTGGGCGTCACACGCCTCAAGCTCTTCAGTTCTTGCACAATGTGTGGTCCTAAATAAGATGTTTGGTGCTTGCCATTTTGGGGTCATTGTGGTGCTGAGGGTTCAGCCTGCTAAGATAAAGAGGTGGATTCGCTGGAGTGGAGATTGACCTTGAAGATTAACCTTGATATGTGTTGACACTGACGAAGCTTGCCAGCAGCACGTATCAACCGAGAGCTGCACTTGACCAATCGCCCAAAACGCATGGGGGACGCCTGTTCCCTCCCTGGGATTTTCCATCCGCTTGCTGCATTTTATTTGGTAGTTGGCTGTGGCCACTGCACTATGTAATGCTGCACAATTTTGTTCGTGCAGCTGTGGACTTGAAGGGCGTTGCTTTGGACAGACATCCTCGTGTCTGTCCAATGTGACAATAAAGGGTTTCGCAAACTGTGCACATGGTGCCACACACAAAGCCCATCAGTTGTTAGCACTCTCTCTGATTATGCTTGTGCGCCTTTGCGTACTTCTCCTGGCAGGATTTGAACCTCTACGGCCTGAGCGGCATCACAGACTCCACAGTCTCTGAACTCCTGGGACTCTGCCCCAACCTGATGTACCTCAACGTTGGAGGTGGCCCAGCGGGGAATGGAATCACAAGGGAAGGGCTGAAAGAGCTCCAGCGAGCAGGCAACATGCGGGCGCTGGAGGTGGACGTGCTGCCCAGGAGGGGTTATCGAAGGGCCCAGGAGCTGTTTCACAGTAGTCTGTTTTAATGGCGCAATGTTAAGAGGGACGGCGTTGACAATTCTTTGGGAAGCAAAACTATCAGACGGTGGGCGAAATGACGAACATGCTAGGCTGGTTGGTGAAAATAGCGTTAAAGGGCGAGCGCATGTACGCAGGGTCGTGCAACTTAGAGCACTCGAGAGTGTTGCCGTGTTTCAGATGCTGAGAAGACGCTGGGCCGTGTGCCGCCGCTTATGTGCCTGTGCACTTGGCCTGGAGAGCTTTTGGCCCACGGGTGTTTGGAGCTCTGCGCTTGCGACAGCGAGAACGGGTGTAGGCGATTCGTTTGGCGGTGTGCGGGCAAGTTTGGGCTGTTTGTGCGATAGCTCGAATGCATGCCAAGCGATTTTTGAAATGATGTGGAGGTAATGATTGATGTTAGATGCGGGGGATTGCGGGGAGGCGCGTGTCCATAGGGTCGCGCAATTTCTTTTGAAGTGCAAAGGCACGTATTTGTGGGATGGGAGTGATTGCGTGGGGTTCGAACGAATGGGTCCGTGCGTGATTGATGCGGTGGGTGGTTGTGGGGATTTGTCGCTCAATTGTTGGCTCATTGGCGTCAGGGTTGGACGCTGGTGTGGCGGCTAAATACCTCGATTTAATGGAAGGCGTTAGTATTCAGGTTTGCACTGTGTTCAGGGAAGCTTTTTTGTATGCCTTGCTTTTATTACGACCCCGTGAAACCTACAAGGCGACGGTGCTGTTAATTGGACGTATATTGATGTACTGATGTGCTGTTGTAACGCCTGATCTGCGTGTTGTATTGACGACGCATTGGTGCAGCATATTTTGTGGCGCATTCGTGCGCTTGCAAGCGCTGGGACATCAATTGCTGGGACATCGGAGAGCCTTGCGTTAGACAGATCGGTCCAAAGCACCCTTCGGCACGCTGTTTTCTGGGCAAAAAGCCGGCTCCCCATTTCGTGATGACACCAGCATTTCATTATTTCATATCTGGGGAATCCTCAATCGACGGCGTCAACGCCTCCAGACCGTCTGGTGTTTCGCAGCTTTCAGCAGTAGTGCAGTCCGCAGCATCAATGGCTTTGCTGCAAGAAATCATACCAGTACGATCTCCTGCGGCAAATGCACTGATGCCGCGGACTGTATTACAGAACTCGAAGCTGCGGAGCACCTTGGCAGACCAATCGACAGGGCCAAGGCTGCGAGGCCAGGAGACAGCTGTCAGACTCAGAGCAATCAGCTTTATAATTCAGCGGTACGACGTTCAACACCATTGGCTTCATAAACGTAATCAACGGTGTTTGACTGACGCCAGCGGTATTCCATGGCATGCCCCCTCTGAATTCCCTGCCACTGGCGGGGGGCCCCCCTGGGCTCCGATGCGTGTACGATAATGTGGCCAGAATGTCACCTCACCAGGCCAAATTGTCACCATGTTTCACAGAACGAGGCAGTGAGGTAGCCGTCAGCATCGTATTTTGCCCGAGCAAAGCAGCGTCTATGATTGAGGCCAAATTGTCACTGACTCCGACCCTGCTACGTCGAGCGTGACGTGCGTTGATGTGCACCTCGTATGCCATCACCTTCATCACGCGCTGGTGCTGAGACAGATCAGACAGAGGGGTGTGGCCCTGTGGCGGGGGGACGCTCGCCGGGCGCCCCTGACGCCCAGGTCAGGCCGCACAAGGGGTGATTCGACCACAGAGTCCCGCACCCGGGAGCCACGCCCACGGCGCAGCGCGCGTCGATTCACCGCGGATGCCAGGCTGGGAGAAGTGCAGCGAAAAGTGCGATTGCAGTAGTGGCCCCACGTCGTGGGCCTCTGCCGGGGCTGAGCCGGCTGACCGTTCCAACGAAGGCTGCGGACAGTTTGCCGCACTGTCGCAGAGGCAGCGCTTGGCTGAGGAGACAGTCCGAGACAGTGCGATCCAGTCGTTGCTGGTGGCGTTGATCGCCTTAGTGGCTTCGCCAGTGCAGCGCAGGGTGGACTCCAGTTGCTCATTGGAATGACTGTTCGATGGAAAAGGCTGCACTGCAGGGCGGGCGCGAGCGCACTGCACCTGCCCATTGTTCCGGGCCTGGCCGTCAGGGGGGACCACTGCACTGCGGGAAGGCTTGCTGCGAAACTCTTACTGCAGATCTCAGTGCAAGTTAAGTGTAGATCTCGATAAGATCGGTTTGATCTGTACACCATGAAACCCAGCCCGAAGGCCAAGGGGTTGTCGTGGTCGAGTTCAAGGAAGAGTTGGAGGCACAATCCAACTGTTGACACCGCCACAGCCATCTCCACAGACAGCGAGCCAATGTTTCTTTAAAAGAGCAAATGATTCAAAGCCCTTCCCATCGCAGCATCATAAGAAACAGGCAACTCGTCACTAAAGAATTCTACCGCTGGCTTTGGGCTGCGACAAGGCTGCACTTCCCAAACTTCACCCACGAGTATCCATTCAATCAGCTCCGAACATTGCGCTGCTGCCACCGGGCCATGGCGTCCAACACTCTCTCAGCGAACGACGGCTCCCCAACTGCCCAACACACCGACCCTTTGCCCGCCGCCAATAGCGTTTTTTTGGGAAAAAGCCATTCTTCAAACAGCCTGGTGTTTGTGTTCATTCTCACAAGAGGGACCGCGCCCACGGCGCGGCCGGGCCCCACTCCCAGCCCAGTCAACTCACGGAGGCGCCCACAGCCTGTGCGTGTGTGTGTTGTGTGTGTGTCTCCGTCCCGCCCCCGCCCTTCGATCGAATTCGAAGACTCAAAAGGCCGCGTTGATGACCTTCTTGACCTCGTCGTACAGCACCAGCACGAGGGCGCCGCCCGCACCGCGCAGCACGTTGGACCACGCGCCCTTGAAGAACGCGCCCACGCCCTCGTCGGCGGCGATCTTGCCCCAGGCGTGAATCGTGCCCTTGTACATTTTCTCCTTGGAGCCGGACTGCATCATGAGCCTCCGACGCACGGTGTCGAAGGGGTAGGAGATGATGCCCGCCATGGCGGTCACGGTCTGCGCCACGGCCCACTTGGCGACGAAGCTGGCCTTCTTCTCGTCCTCGAAGATGATCCCCTTGGCCGTGTCGAACAGCCCGAAGTAGGCGCCGCGGTAGACGATGATCCCCTGCACGGACACGCCGAACCCCTGGTACAGCGCCAGGGGACCCCCGCGGCCGGCCACCTTCTGGATGCAGTCGATCAGGCCCGTGAACTCGCGCGCCTTGCCGGAGCCCACGTCCGCCGCCAGCCTCGTCCGCGCGAAGTCAAGCGGGTAGACGATGAGCAGCGAGGATGCGCCCGCGGCACCGCCGGAGGCCAGGTTGGCGGCGAAGAACTTCCAGAAGTCCTTCTTGGGGTTGTAGCTGGGGAACATGGCCTTGAACTTGTCCTTAAAGGCGAAGTTGAAGGCCTGGGTGGGGAAGTAACGGATCACGTTGGCCAGGTTGCCCCGCCAGTAGGACGCCACGCCCTGCTCCCTCGCCACGCGCACGAAGCAGTCGACGATGCCCTTGTACCGCGGCACCTCCCCCGACTTGATCTTCGGGTTGGAGTCCTGCGTCTGCAGCAGCAGCTTCACGCGCTCGATCGGCGCCACGGCCGTCTTGGAGATCCCACCGGCCACGCCGCCGGCGGCCAGGTCCACCAGGAACGCCGTCATGCCGCCCTCCGCCGCCTTGGGCACGAATCCCAACCGCTCCCGCGCAGAGGGGACCATGAAGTTCGGCTGGATCGCGCCGGCCGCCGCCGCCGAAGGCGCCGGCATGGGACCGGTGGAGCCGGCGGACGCCCTGAGCAGGCCGAACAGGCCGGCGTCCTTGTAGACCTGAGAGGACAGCATGGCGCCTGGTCTGCCACCCGGCGATCGGGGATCCGAAGGGGGGGGAGCCGGCGGCGGGGGCTGGGAGGGGGCGGGCTGGCGGTCGCGCTCCGCGGGCGGCCGTCGACTGTGGGAGGGTCGCGGGCGGGAGCGCGTTAGGGGTTGGACGGCTGTGGACTCAATTTCATGGGGCGGGCGGGGCTGTCCGTTAAGGTCCCCGTGATGGGACGGGCACACAGTCATCTCTGGCATTTGGACGCAATGTCGCAATATTGCGACATTAATGTTGGGGTGGGCCGATCAGCCGGCCGACGGATTTCCCAGGGGAAAGGAGCCCGCCGGTACAGGGGAGTTTCTCGCAACGGGGCCATTCTCGCGGGAGTTATCGCGACAGCCTGCGGCTTTTGCTTCTGTCCTGCTGAACAAAACAACTGGCGAAAACAGCTGTTTCAACGCGTTGTGATCAACAAGCGCTTCTAACGGATTAAAGAATATGTGGATTGGGGCTTTCGTTTGTGGCATGCAATGGAATTCAATGAACAAGTCATGAACAGCGTTTTGGCGGGCAACATAAGAAACCAGCCGCCACCTCCTTGCCATGGAAAGTAAAATTTCATAAAAGAATGAGGGAATGCAGCAATGACGGGCAACGAGTTCTCAAGCTCGGCATTCGCAGACCATGGGTGACAATATTGCGCATAATAGTTTACATTACCAGTTTTCATGAAGTTGTGATTTCTGTTGGATCGCAACACCCAGGGCACCCCCCGAACCTCTTTCCAGGACCTGAGTACTGCGGAGGGCGAAGACCCTCTCCCACAACCTGGGATATTCCTCCGGGGGGCCGCGAGAATCGCGATATATGGAGGAGGCACAAACGTTCCTGTTGGACTTACTGGCTCGTCACGGAGCACAGGTGGGTGCGATGGGGTGTGGCGGCTGCTGCAGTCTGGGAGAAACCATCTTGTTGCCCGCGTGGCCCTCCTCCCGCCCTCCGCTTCTCGTCGAGTTCCTGTTGGCTTTTGTCCATGTGAAGTCCCTTAGTGGCGTGGAGCTGAGTGGATCATTAAAACGCGGCTGCCAAGGAGTTTTCCATGGTGCTCGTTGACTTCACAAGTCGCCGCTCAAATCGAAGAGCCATTTGAAAGACTGACGCGACGAGCAGCAGCCTAACACTGAATCGCGCGGGTGGAGGCAAACAACCATGGGAGACTGAAGGGCAGCTGGAGGTGATGACTGTGGTAGCCAACCTACTGAATGAAGAAGATCGACCTGCACTGGCGATATGCGCGAAAGTGAGTTCTCCCAGGTCAGTGGTGTTACTCCAAAATGCGATGGCCACCCAAACGTCAACTGAAAATGAGATGGAGGGGAGTCCTGGGAAGTGGCCATGAATCTGGACCAAGGCCAGAACCCTTTAGGCTTGCTGGAAGGATAGCAGGACGACTGTGATCGACATGTGAAAATGTAAATGAGGTCTAGCGAAAGTAACAGAGTTATTTGGTCAGCACCGGTGGTGAGCTTTAAGTAGGGTTTTTTGAGGGCAGGTGTGCGGGGGCTGTGAGCAGAACCGTCAATGCCAAATAATGTCAATTTGTAATTTCTAAAGGAAGAGTTTTCGGGCACGTCTGGCATTATTCCCGAGTCTTGTTTGTGATCTCGCTGTAGAGATTTGCATGGGCCAGAAGTGGGCGGCGGTGTTCTCGCCCTCTCCGCAGGCTGGGCTCGTCTTTGTCATTGATCATCCGCACGCCTGCTCTCTGGATTGCGCATACTGATTTGCTACGTTGCCGTGTTGCAAATGCAGTGAAAGTGTTGGCAGCTTGCCTATGTGAGAGGCGTATCGTTGGCTGGCGCCGTGTGCATTGCCAAACCACTTCACATTCTGCTGCGAATCGCTGCGTATGGACGTACAGGCCCACACGCTGTGAATCGACAGTGGTCCACTGTTCTGCATAATCACATCGTGTCGCCAATCACCCCCGAATCAAATGTTCGCAACGGACTTGCCCCCAAGGATACTGCACCATTGTCATGGTCTCTGGGCCATGGGCCCTGCAGCATTTCGTGGTCCGCGGCCCGTGGCAGCCGCGGGGCTGCTCAATGCTTATGTGCACCCCTGTCAAACATAATTGGCGAAAGGAAGTGAAAGCGGAGCAATTGAAGCGTTGCTAGTACAATCCAGAGTGAACCAATTTGTTGCAAATGGCTGCAACTGATCTCAGCCCAGCGGGATGGTGCGGAAGTCGGGCACCCATTGCGAGTGCTCACTGTGCCAACAGGCGTACCGCGATAGGTGGGACGCGATGGAATGATTCTTTTGGCACAGTGCTTCAATCTGCAGTGCGGCAAACGTGAATGCACCACGCACCTCATGGGAGAAAGATAAACACAAAATAACATTGCACCGCCATGAACCACACCACCCCGCGTACACGTAAATGCGGAAAGCGACAGCAACGTTGTACAACAAGCATAGATATTTGTTGGAAGATCTTCCGGCTCTCCGCAGCAAGTAATTACTTTTAATTACTTTTTATTACTTTACCAGTGGTTATAACCACTGTGTGCACGCATGCCCCGTACATGAGCTGCGAACAGTTTGCCGTTTGCCAAGAGGCTGTCAATATCTCCTTATGCAAGGCATCACCTTGAGAATGGAGTAGTTTTGTATCGGTTTCCACTTCCTCCTTGTTGAATTCGATCTGCCAGTACATTGTGGGGGTCATGTATGATCGCTTCATAAACTGCTATCATCAACTGAGCCCATCGGTAAACCCCAAAGACACCCCGGTCAGCAGCAACTGACGGCCAGCTCGGCCATCTTTGGGTCCACTCTGCTTGGTGAGCAAGCAACCCCGCAAATAAGACAATCATCCTCGCAGGATTTGGTCCCGCTTGGACGCATTGTACACTACTGATACAATGTCTCCAGAATTTCGGGGTATTTTGAACACACCGAAACCATTTGAAATGTGAGTGTGCTCGCCAGTGCAGGGACGCCGCTCGTCGCAGCGCTGGGTCAGTCGTTGGTCCGTGCTAGGTCAGGGAAGGTGGGGCGACCTGCCCGCCCTTCAGTGTCCAAATTGACCCTGCAGGAAGCCGCTGCGAACCTGGCCCGTGACCTCGCTGACCGCGCTCCGCTAATGAGGCACAAACACAGCGGTGGAACCGCTGTTAGCACCGGAAACGGCACACAAGCAATAATGAGTCTATTTATCCATGCATCCACCCATATCTCAATCATCCAATCCATCCGTCGATCCATCGATGGATCGATGGATGGATATCCATCCATCCGTGAAGAATTCAATCAATCAGCTCATCAGCCAAGAGGACCTAAATGGTAGGTCAGCAACAAAGCTCACGATGTCTGTAGTATAGCAGAAGAGAAACCTCACGCAGAGGTCTGAATGGTGTTTATTTCCAGCTGTGGTTCCCCAGGTGTCAGCAAACATGGGAAATATTGAAGCACGGTTTTTAAGGAAACACACGCTAGATGAGTGGCCTGCCCAGCCTCGTGATCAGTGATTCTATAGGGATGACCAATTCAATACTGTGGCAGTTGACACAACACTTCCTGAGTGCGACAGGAAGAGGGAAACAACAAGGAGTGGCATAAAACATGCACAACGATATGAAGGGCACATGAGCAGGTGCGAAATTCAAGGTAGGCAGTTGAAGCACGATTGCTCACTGCCTCGTGCGTTCAGTTGGGTGAACCCATAGGCGAATGGGCTCACGACAATGGCCTCGATCTGAGCCCCAATCCACACACAGATCACAATGTGGCATCCAAGCAAGCATTGAGCATGTCATAATTACTGTGGCGTCATTCCGCAGCAGCTCCTTGCTACTGGTTTACACCAAAAGCTTTGTGAATGGGAAGAATTGCTCCTTCTGAATCATGCATGTGCTCATGCCTGACATCAACTTCCCAAACAACGATGCGACAAAGTGCAGATAACCCAAACACACAGACTTGCTGGAGACTTCATAGAGAACGGGGAGCTACACCCTCCTGCATTGAGTATTTCAATCAATATCCTTGACGTGTTGGTTCTCTCACTGACCTGTTGATTATCTTGGATTCGCATGCAAGCGGCATGGTGGTTGATTCAAATGACCCAACAAATATTGTCCAACATAGGAAATGCTGGACTTCCAATGAGGTGAAGGGTGTGTGCTGAGTGAAGGCATGTGCTCAGAATGTATTTGCTGCATTGTGGCTTGGTGTGACAAGCATGTTTGAAGTCTACACGAGCCAATTGCCACCTTGCAGCTGACCAACCTAATACGATGACGATATGTTCAACATGGAGGTGTACTAGTTTACATTTATGGTGTTATGTTTAGCGTTATCACCATATTATATAATTACTTCAAGTAATGAAGTATATTTTATGTGAAGTATATTTTATGTGGGGTATGTATAATTTATATGTGGGGTATGTTATATTTATGTATATTACGTATATAACAACGAAGGGCACAACAATTCAGCAACGTGTATATTACGTATGTTATATTTATGTATATTTATGTATATGTGGGGTATGTTTATTTTACGTGGGGTATGTATATTTTATATTTTATCTGAAGCATATTTTATGTGGGGTGCACTATTTTATACATGTGAATTAATATTTTGATGGAATTTCCCTGTCCCAAACTTGTACCGCATTGGATTGGCTGATCCTGCTGTATTTTTGAGCCCCTCGCATAATCCCCCTCAATTGTACGAGGTGGCCCCTGAGTTCAGCAACAACAAGGATGATCGATATCGTCGGGGGAAGTTGTCCCAGTGGAAAATGGCCCCCCGCATCACATAGAGTATCCACATTATCTCCCGTTCTCTACAGTCTTTTAGATGGGGCCAGCCGGTCCATGGCCACTACTAGCACCGTCCTACGTGTTGATCCCTAAGCTACATTTTGGGTTGATACCAAACTAACAAATAAATTCACAGCATTTTGCAGCTTTCAGAAGTTGTATGCCGAATTCGGTCAACAGCATGTATAACACTTAGCAAACACAGTTCAATTGTGACTTCGGTCGTCGTACCTACGTCTTTCATGGTGCCGAAGCACTGTGTCATCATCGTAATGTCCATTATCTCATTTTCGTGATGCCATGCACATCAGCTGATAATGACATTGCGCTCTCCTGGAGGCTATTCACGATGGCCTGGCGCTGCCAAGCTATGCCCTGAGCCCCAAGAAGACCACCGCACCCGGTTGGTGTTGTTTCCAATCCACATTTAATCGGTAGGAAACAGCAGATCACGTCCATCTCAAAACAGCTGTTATCCGTCCATGAGGGTCATCTGGTCAACTGCATCTTTGTATCCATATCTCATACAACGCCCGTACTTTGAGCCAGGATGTGACCATTCAGCACCCATTCTGCAGCAAAACACAGTGCAATGTGCTTCACCGTGGAAATCTTGAGTGCTGGATGTGTATGGTGCAGCACGTCTCACAGGCACTTACTTGGCCAGACAAGAACTGGGCCTCTGCCTCTGTATCTGCGGCTTTCACCACCTTCACCTTTTCAGCCTTTGCGGTCTGCAGCGCAGCTTCCCTTAGGCCCATCGAAGCAGAAGCTCATTTTACAGAACCCCACATTGGCTACAAACCCACCGAGCGTAACTCAGAATCTATTCGAAAGATTGTGAATTCATGAATTCATACTGGCGTGCCAGAATGTGCTTTTCTGCCACTGCGACACAATCCTGACCACAGCTGAACGTTTACCTTAGTCGCTTTGTTGCACTAATTTTGTTCGTCGCCTCTCTGAAGTTCCCGGCTGGCTCAATAGCTGTCATGTACAACAGCCGAGGATGCCGTGAATTGAGTACGAAGCTAGGATGCTGCACGACGAGGATAGAAAGATGCGGGGTTGCATTGACCATGGAAGAACAGCTGAGGATGTGCACCAGCAATCACCATCTGCCATGTTTGGCTCCTGGCTCGGTGTCCTTTGCCTGCAACTGCAAACAGGCTCACTTCAGGACAGTCTTGAAGCAGGGGTTCGAGTGTTCCAGCACAACATACACTAGCAGATTACCAGTGAGGAAGTTATGGCGAACCCGAATGACCCCATCGCGTTGGTGAGCTGTGACTTGACGTTCAGAGCTATGGACCCCTTGCCCTGCAGGCAAACAAGGGGCTGAGTGAGCACGGCTTGTTCCGGCATACGTGCGACTGTGAAATTGCGGAATGCAAGCCGACAGGCTGCACAAGGTGCGCACAGAGGGAACGATGCTACAGAGGCCAATCCACCAATTCAGCAAAGCAGCCGCCCTGATCAACGCGAATAGACGGCGAGTGCGGCAAAGGCACCAGGCGACATCTCACATGAGCGTAGCAGCGCATGAGCGACGCGCTCCCGTTGTTGGCGGTCGGTGGCGAAACATTCGAAATGGGGCATTTTGAAAGTGCGAAAAAGTTTCAAAATGTTATATAGCATATATGTTCCAGGACGGTTCAGCAATATGGCGCCCGTCCGCAGATAGCATTGTCTGACGCCGCCGCGACAAGGCAAAGGTGGACAACCGCAGGGCACCCGCACTCGTGGGGGGCAGCTTTCCGGTGCCTGGGAATGAGGACTTGGCAGAGCAGTCCGCCGGGTGTCAGTACAGGACTGCGTGTGGCTCACCCCGAACACGTCGTCAAGGTCCATCTTGGGAACCGTCGAGCGGACGACGTCGGACACGTAGCTCGTCATTTGGGCGGTGGTGTTAGTCAGTTTGTAGAACGGGTCCTAGATGCTCTCCTTCACAACCTGGAGGCGCAACACCTTGCGGATCGGCTCCCTTTCCTCTGCACAAGAGGGGCTGCCCTTTGCGTGGTGTGGCACTCCAGTCACACCACGCCGGCAATCTTCAGAAGGCCGCGGCCATTCCCCGTGCACCTCCCAGGCCGCGTCGCGCGCATCGCGTGGTCCTTGAGGCCCGCACCACTCGTTGCTGGACGGAAGTCGTGATCTTCACGAACACGTTGTCACGAGCCTTCGTTCCACAGACGACGTCCAGTTGCCGAATCCTCATGTTGAGAGCGCGAGCGGAGGCCGATCCGGATCGGACTCCACTCGCGCTCTCGACATGAGTAGAACCCTACACGCACGGCACAGGGTGGGAATTCAATCCCGAGCCGCGGCACCCACAAACCGTCAATTCCATGTGGAATGGCGGATGCATCCGCAGCGCAGGGCAAGCAAGAGGGGCTCATTCCCCCCCTCCTCTTTCCGCCGAAGGAGGTTACTGATGGCAATGCTACACACCCACAGAGCGACCAGTCCAATTGGACACGATACAGCTTCCCTTCAGGCAGAGTGCCCAATCAGCCTGTGAGGGGTGGAGCCCAAGGCGAGGGCCGTTCCAGCCCGTTGTCCCTCCCGTCGCAGGACCAGGGTCGGTGCGCCACTCACCAACGCAGCAGCAAATCCAATTGAAGCCTGGGTGCGGGACGCGGTGAAAGTTGCCGAAGCGCTCGATGATCTCCACCGTGCCCGTGTCCATGCAGGGGTAGCAGCACACGATGGCAAATGTAAGGGGCGGCAACCCTCCTTGGCTGGTCGGGGCTTGGCCCGTTACCCGTTCGAGTCGGGGTCCAGTCGGAAACGAACTTGAACGGCAAGGTTTCGATTACAGAAGTGTTCCGGTGTTCCCGTTTATATACCCCATGTCCAAGGCAGTCCAAGGGTCATGCCAGAATTGGGTGAGTCACCCAGATTCTGGCATGCCCGCCCAGTTTCATAATTCAAACCCCCAACTTCGTGTCCGTTCGTTTCTACCGACCCGTGGTCACCCAGCGCCTCTCTCTACCGTATTGACCAATACGGCACTCTTTCCCTTTGTCCATTTCATCATCACCCAGTCCAGTTATCCTTAGTAAACCCAACATCTAGCTTTGGCTCCTGAACGGCCAGCTGCGGCGGGCACTCCACACCCCGTTCATTGAATGAAATGGCTAAGTACTATCCCGCATTAGAACCCGTTTCCCGTGAGCTATTATACAATGTTTCCCATGCTAATATACAGTACCGCCCAGGTTAATATACAGGTGAACTTCCCCTTCTGTCCTAATGTACAAGGCTGCCCTCACAGCAAAGGTCAACTGGCCGCGGGCCCGTGGGAGCGTGTTGAAAGGCCGCTGGGAACGTGGCTGTGCGACTTCTATTATTTTGCCCTTCCGTTGGTCGACGGCAGTATCCACGGCCTGGAAGGTGTGCGGTACCTGTCCAGTGAAGCTGCTTCCCATGGCGTCCATGCAAAAATCTCTGGCACATACACTCTGAAACAAGCACAGACAATTTCCCCAACCACTGCACCGCTTGCTTTCCTGAGCGGTAAGACTTGCAGTCGCGCCACTCGTCTCAAGCTTTAACATTGCTAAAGGCCAGATGGGGTGAAAGTGGGGCACTTGGATCCTGCTTGACGTCAGATTGACGATAGGTAGGGGGGCTCCAGAGCTGTGACTCCAGAGATCACGCAAACTGGCGACGAAATTGTGCGACACAACAGCCATAAATTCGATATTAATCCAATAACCCCTTAAATGTCCGAGAAAAACCCCAGAGCATTCTAAGTTGCTGCTGTGGCAATCCACAGATGAAAAAAGTTTCCAATGCCATTGAAACAGGTGCTGCAGTTATTTTATTGCAAAATCCCATCCGCTCACCTGGGGAGCACCTCCAATCACCTGGGAGAGCCAGGAGTGACGGTGGGCAATGTCTGTGCTCCGATCTATGTCAACTCAAGAACGGATTATGAAATGGCATCGGCACAAGATTTGACACTGGGCGAGTGGGGTCCGGGCTCACCGTCAAGATCACACAGAGCATGACAAACTCGCCTGGCGTCTCTACGAAGCAATGAAAGCAGCCTTGGTCATAACGACGTAAATACTTTCCTGTTTATGGTTATTTACGCATAAAACTGATTTTTACGTTTTTATGTGTAAACAGCCGTAAAAGGGTAAAAATGGGCTCTGTGTACTTAAAGACAGTACATACTGCCTCAGGAAGTGCCGAGATGGCAGCCAGACGCTCTGAAGAATGCGTAAAACGATCTTTTGCTCGGGAACGTTGTTGCCCTAGTTGTGGCCTGGTGTGTGCTGTGTCGCCAGTGCTGGAGAGAGTGGAGGATTGATCGTTGATTGGGAAATCATCATGTAATCTGGGCGTGTCTAGCCGTAAATAGATGTAAATATGGCCGTACATATATGGCCGTTTCTCAATTTACGCGTTTTTACGTGTTAAAACGTCAACGTAAAAATCGAGCCGTACATGCAAAGACCAAGCCTGAATGCAAGGCACCACTACATAATGGAACAGGCTTCACATGAGCAACCTTGGCACATTTTCAACGCCCATGGGAAGTACGGCAGATACACTTGGTCTGTAATGGATTATTCCTTCTTTTCCAAATGTCTGAGGGGCTTTTGCCACAATACAAAACTGACGTTGGATTTGGGCCCTGTTAGCAAATCTGCTATCCAAGCAGTACCCCTTGTCCTGCCTCTTGTACACAACGTGGCAGCATGTTATCACAAACGAATGGACTCACTGCAGCACGATTGCTGCGGGATCGTCAAGGGCATCGCACATCGAGCAATTGCACATCCCTGCAGGGCACCTTCAAGCCACCATTCTGCTGTCCAAGTCCGTTGTGTTATAGAAGCAGGCACAGAGGTTCTAAAGGCCTCCAGTACGTTGTCGTATTGTGGAACTGTAAACACACAAAGTGTCGTTCCCATGGGGTGTTTCGATGCTGCTTGAGTGCCCTTTATCCTCCAAGGCTGGCCAAGTGGATGGTGGCAGAAATGGAGTCCATGCATCCAGCAGATTGACAGCCAACAAAGAATTAAAATCCCCCCTCCCCTCAGAAAACTCCACGTCACGCTGAAATAAGTGTAAGTTCCAATGCACAGCATCCCATGACCACCCATCAATTTGTGTCTGCCATCATCAGCGTCTTTCGCTGCTTCTTGCTCTTCATCATTTTCTTTAGTTTTTGGGTGTTTGATATCTGCAGAAGGCAAGAAAAAGGCAGAATGAGCAGCACCAAAGATGCCAACACAATGCAGGGCACTACTTGCTGAACCCAGGACAGACCATGCAAAGCTCGAACAGGGCCGATGCATACAGTCCCTGCTGGAGCTGCTGATAATGATGGTAAACAGTACGTCCAGGATTGTCAGGATCTTCATGAGCGCATGTGATGGCAGGTGATAGGCATATGCATGCTGTCAACAGCCAACTCTGAATTCTCCAACAAGGCCTTGCGCACCATCACTACTGAGGGCGGTTCGGCTGTGAGACAGAGCAAACAAGCTCTCTGGGAACACTTCGGTTTCAACTTCTCTGTTGCAGGGGATCGCGCCCAAGTTGGGTGCGCCCAAGTACAATTTGTGTTGGTTGATGCATTAGTAAGTAAAAAATGCTGTTGAGAAGTTGTTTTATGTTGCACAACAAGGACTGTCATAAATATCACTTCCACTCAGGTGGAAACGCCCAACATCGCCTGCCAGGTGCAAAGGCAGCGATTTGTCGTGCTGCAGCTGTAACGGTTGAGAATTGAAACAACTGCTTATGAAGGCCTACAGCACCTTTCTTCACCGTGGTAGATGTATGGTCTTTGCCGTGCCATGTGCTGATCAATGTGTTCACATTAGGTTTGACAGGCTGGTCCTCCAGCATGTATCAAGATTCTCAGTCCTTGTGATATGGGACAGCAGGGGGCGGATTGTGCATTGGGCGATAGCAATCAAGAGGGGTTTGTCTCTGAAAGGCACGCTCACCTTTTGCACGACTGCACTCTTCCGTCTGTTCTCCTCCTTTCGTTTTATTGAGGCCTCTTTCTGTTCCCTGATGGCCTGCACAACAACACGATCACTGCAATGCATCAACAACTGCTGTGTGTGTGTGTGTGTGTGTGTGTGTGTGTGTGTGTGTGTGTGTGTGTGTGTGTGTGCACCAAATATCATTTCTGCAAATCTATGGTTTTGTGTATCACTGAATTCTTGACGCCCCAAAATGCTGTACATGTACCACTTCCCAACATTCTTCTCTGTACCCATACTGAAATGTGGCGATAAAAATATATGAGCATGAACAACAAAGCAGCAAGAGCAGCAAAGTAAACCCAACCTCACAATCTTCGCCCATGTTTTGGTGTGCCCTGCACAGGTGCTGTCCCAACACCATCCAACAGGCATAAGAGTGGTGCTTTGCCATTTTTGGAAAGAATTTCAGGGAAGTGATTTCTGTACACAGATATGCTGTTCAGCAGACCTTCAGCCTCTCCCCCCGCTGCCTCCGCATCTCGGCCATTGTCTCCGTGAAGGCCTTCCTCTCTGCCTTGTCCTTCATCCTCTTCTCCCAGGACACCGCCAGTTTGGCGTCCTTCATGGCACCCACCCGCGTGCCGGGAGCTTTCCAAACTCGGCTGGACCCCTGTCGGAGCAGAGAACGGGGTAAGGCCCTCGGAACGGTCGTCTCCAAGTCTCATTCTCTGAGCGACACGCAATCCGGGACTGATGCGTGCCCAACACACGGGAGCCAAGCCCGCACTGATATGCTCCGAGGAGCGATTATCTCGAGATTACTTCAATACAGCAGGAGATGCTGCTGATGGCTGCGAGCAGAACGGGATTGCCGGCACAAAACAGTGAACAATCGCCATACAGGCCCCACCCAAATCACACCCCAAAAACTGGCGGCATGCGGCGGCTGGTAACTACAAAAGGGAGCTACAAGTAGCCACAGCCAAGCGCAAGAGTTGGGGTCTGTTTTGCAAGCGATCGTTGCCGACCCCTCCTATTCCAGTCCTATTCCGAAGGCTTCACCAACATCTTCCTTTGCACGGCGATTGCCTCACGACAAACGTCGCTTGGAAAAGCAGCGACCAAACGCTCGGCACGGCTCCCATTCCCGTCACTCACCTTGGACAGCCCGGTCACGTCCCGCTTGACCTTCTTCACGGCGGCCGCGGGCCGCCCCAGCGCGATCGCCTCCCTGGGCTCGTCGGTGTCCATAGCGTCCGCCATCTCTTCGAGCTTGCGCTTGTTCTTCAGCTTGTAGCCCCGCGGCCCCCACGCTGCGAACCGCTTGTCTGGGTACGGCACCTGGCTGTGCACTGCCGGCGCCCACCCGTCCTCGAAAGGCGTCGCCATGCTGGGACCGGCGTCGTCCAGCCGCCAACACACCCAACCGATGTCCACCCACGGGTTTTAGTGTTCAGTTTTTTTTTTTTTTTTCAAGGTTTGGTTCAGGGTTGGTTACCCATGGGTTTCGGGGTTCAGTTTCCTAGGTTCGGTATTTTGGCTTTCCTAACGCTCGTCTTTGGTTCGTTTTAAGGTTAGGTTTTCAGGTTTTTATTAGGTATCCCAGTGTTTTTTTTTTGGGGGGGGGGGGGCTTAGAACCAACAGTAGACACACTTAGAACAAACACTAGGCACACTATTTGGAATCGATACTGCCTCCCAGACGTATCGATGCGCAAGCAACCTGCGCTGTTTCTGGCATCCCATGTGTTTCTGTCCTTCACGGCCTGGCCCCCGCGCCAAAGCTCGAGTCCGCCACCAGCGCCACCGGCGAGCCTTGACGCGGTCTGCTGCTGTCGCTCTGCCTCAACGCCATGGCGTCGCCCACCCGGGGAGCCGTGAGGCGCCTGAACGAGGGGAACTGCTGTGGACCGGTCAACCTACAGGTGATCGGAACATCCGCCCCCTTGGGATCCGACGGCTATTCGCGACGCGGAGGCTTCGCGCCCAAGGCTCCAATTTACCGACATGCGGACGGGGATGCAGTGTCTTGACGTGATCCTGTTGGACTCGATGTTTGGTCTGCGGGCGACGTCGATTCGATGCTATCTGGCTCGCTCAAAGAAGGGGAGGGGGGAAGCGTGGATAAGTCAGAAAAGAGCACTGGCCTTGCGCAGTCGGTGCGTCTCCAATTGGCAGGAGTGTTGGACGGTACTTTGCGCCGCACCTCGCCTGCAGGAGGCGTTTTCGTCCCCCGTGGGGAAGCAGCGGGCTCATGGCTCCCGAGCTTGCGGTGCTGCGGGGCTTCCCCCGTCGGGAGCAGCCTGCGGCCGCCCCGCCCCCAACCCCGGTTTGCTACCACCGGACAAGGGTGACTGTTGCGCGAGCAGCATCACCAGCAATGCAGGGCCCGTGCCGCGCTCAGGCACCCGCTTTCCCATCGGGTTCAATGCCATCCCCCGTCGGATCAAGTCGCCCGTTCCTTTGTGAGACCACCCGCCTCTGACACTGACGCTGCTCCAGATCACCTCCCTGTCCAAGAGTGGCGACGGCAAATACGCGCACACGTGCACAGACGGACTGGAGAGCATATGCGGGGTGCTTGCCACGCAGTTGTCGCCGCTGGCGGATGCAGGTGCGCGACTTGACATCTTTGTGGGCAGATGCCTCACCATAATGTCTATTTCAATTTCGAATCCACAGTTAAAAACCTCCGTTGATTTTGTAAGTCAACTTTCCCGTTTCGACGTCCATGGCATCCATGCCATTGTATTTTGTGCAGCCACCCACTTTCAATTCCAGGAAATGCGTTCCAAAGACACTTTTACAGCTTCTTCCCTTCCACATCCTTGGCTCCTGTTCTCCATCGTCGACATTCGACAATTGACATAAGTCCTCTATAGAACATTGAGGTGATCCTTACGTCGCCTTGCAGATTAATGGGCAGTGGTAATTGCAGCATGCTGACAAACTCGGTAGGGACGCATGGCACAACGCGCTGTGTCGATTTCGCACTGCTGTAACGTATGCATTCACCCCTCTTTTATGCTTGCATAGGAGAGATCGCGGCAGGCAGTCTCATTTGCATGAAATCCTATGTTGCAAACAAGATAGAAGGCGTGATGAAGCTCATCATCACTGAGCTTGAAGTGCTGTCCAAGAGCTGGAAGGTGGAGGAGCAGCTGGAGGTCAAAACAGCAGTCGACGACCCGATGTCCGGCGTTGAGGAGTCGTCTCCTCCCGAAGCGTGCAAACCTCACAGTGGACACTCCAGTGGAGTGCAGCACACGGATGAAAACAGTGGCCACCCACCCCACACTCCGCACCGCTTCGAATTTCGATATTATTGTCTGATCCGCGATGATCCCGGAATAGCGCGATCACATCCACATCAGAAGATCGATCGATCCGATCCGAGGTTGCCGGGCGGGATTCGCACTTGATCGTTTTGGTGCCCCGGGCCGCGCGCGGGTTGAGCTCAGGAATATGCAAAGGAAGGGCGGTCAGCCATGATGTATTCTTTTGGGACAGCTTTGCCGATTTGCAAAGGGTGTCCACCAATGCTGTGTAACTGCAAAGCCGCTGTTGTCAATGTGGAAATGCATTGGAAGCAAACAGCACTGGATCACAGTTGTGTTCGATTTTGGTGCTCCCATGCTGGACGAATTTCCTTGGTATAACAACAACACACAGCATTGTGCCTCTGTGTCATTCTTGTGCCATTCTGCACGCAAAGCTGCTTGGAAATTGTGACCTGGTCGGCAGTGTGCCACCTCCTTTCTTGCATGCAAAGGCCGTTTCTTTGGCTGGCTGTACGTTTTGGTGGTCTGGCCAGTCAGTTGATTCACTTCATCTCACCCTACTGCGTAGGAAGTCGTCTGGCAATGGGGACCGCCCAGCTCTTAGCCCCATCCAGGCCCTGAATCCCTACAGCACCCAGTGGAGCATTCGTGCCAAGGTGCAGCACAAGTGGCCAAAGAACAGTTTCGTTCCACGTGGCCAGTCAAGCCCTGTTAGCGTCTTTAATGTGGAGCTGATCGATGACCAGGTGATTATGACTTGCTGATGTTCCGCTCACAGAATGGACAAAACAGTACATAATGGGTAGATGTATGTACTAAATAATTGGATGAACAAGGGGCAGAATAGGGTTTGGAAGGCACAGACTGCAGAACAAGCTGGAGCCAGAAGGGGAGTAACAGAAAGTAAAAGAAAATGGAAAAATGTGAAATTACAATTGCCATGGAACGAGCATCACTGGTGTCCTTCGCCAATCATTCCTTTTTTGTCCACATCCTTTGTCAGGTTTAGTAGGTTCCGTGAATCTAATGGTCTTACGATTGTGCTGTTCTTGTTGAATTATAATCCTGCTTGATGGATGTTGCTTATTTGCAGCGTTCAATGCATCCGTGCATAGCAATGGCCAGGGGGGTAAACCAGGGCTTGGACCCATTTGTGAGCTGTGAAAGGTGTCATGCTCAACGTCTGTGCCTACGCTGCAGGGCACACAAGTAGAGGGTTCATTCTGGAGGGAAATGGCTGACAAGTACTACGACAACTTGGAGGAAGGCAAGGTAAGTGACTACGCAACACCATGACCATAATGAGGTTGACCATGAGTGAAGATCACATGTGATAAGGCAAACAAAAGCACATTGATGTAAGTCATCGCGAAATAGCAAAATGTTTCCCCTGCAACTGTTCTATTGCTGTTTATGGGCCTTTTGGAAATGGACAGTGGGCAGAGCTGTGTGGATTGGCAATGGATGAAACCATTCGGATGATGGTGTGCTCGTCATCGCCTGCCATTTACAATTGCTTGGTTTTGTAATCCGGAATTGACAAATTGGCAGCCATGGAATTAGGAAACTTATGCCAATCAAGCTGTCAGGAGGCATTCACAGTGACAGGCACTCATTCTGTCTTGTTTCATTCCCAAGAATCGCCAAACCTTGTGTATGATGCAGGAAACAGTCCAGCTGCAGTGAATCTTTTGGAATTTCTGCAGCTGTTTCAACATTTCACGGCAGCTTGTTTCTTAATGCAAATTGCGAAATCGACTCAATTGGTCATGGTCAAGCCAGGGTCGTATTTCCTAGCCGATTTCCATTGCATTTGAACCGCGATCACTCTGAGCAGCAGTCGACAGCAAGATTTGTGCAGCAATGCAAAATGGAATAAAAAATGTGAATTGGGTAGAAGGGCACAAAATTGTTGAAATTCAATAACTGATGTTCTTCAATCTGTTAACTTTTTGGCTTTGAACATCATTCTTGTAAGTTCTGTGTTAAATGTTGTCAACATGTTAATAAGTATGGAAACCTCAAGCATTTTCATGTTCAGCAGCTTGAGGCATAGCTTCAAAGTTCTGTTCTGAGCAACTTGATTTCTGGTTTGTTGTGGGGCTTCTGTATAATCAGGTGTACTACTTTAGCAAGTTCACTGTGAAACCTGCAAACAAGAATTACGCCACAGTGAACAACGACTACAGCCTCAACTTCGGGCCCAGGTAATTGCCGCACTTTCTGCGTGAGAACTGCACAGCAACCTGCTGTTTGTTGGAGGAGACCACTTCCACCACATCTGCGCTCATTTACTGCAACACACGGCAGTAATGACGACAACAGATTCATAGCAACGTGCTTGTGCATTCAGTTTGGATCAATGGAACAGATGAACCGTTGAGACTCGCCTTGCTTTCTAATCTCTAAGGCTGTGCTTGCATGTCCGTAATATTCATCTTTGCAGGTTCCATCGCCTTGTGCTTTGTTATTAAGCAGCACAATGTTCCCACCACTTCCATAGGGGCAAAGCAGCATGCGAACTGTTGATTGGGTGCAGCATTTTGGACTGACTGAACATGGATACAAAAACACTCTTGCTCCTGGCTGTCTGTCACTGTGCACACATGCACGAACGCCAGTGCTGCTTGCCGCTGAACGCTTCAAGATGCTGCTGGCTGGCCAGCACGAATACCCTCGAGCCCTGAGTAACAAATGAATTCAATCGCTGTTGGTGGCAGGTCGGAGGTTGTCCTGTGCGAAGATCAGGACACAACAAACATGAAAGAGCAGCTCCAGGCAACCCGGATTTCGGAGCTTCCGAAGTATCTGAATCGGAAGGTGCACTGGGCCCTGCTGAATAAATTCACATCTTGCAGATTGCTCCCTGAGCCACACTGCTGTCGATCTCCCACCTACGCTTTGCTATTAGCAAATAGACCCATGACCTCGAATTTTAGTCCAGGAATTGAGTGTGATGTGATGTTCTGGAATTGGCACTGTGAATCTTGAAACCTGTATTCCTCATTGGGCAAGTGTTGTCACGATTGCATAATTCTGTGTGAATACATTGGTGAAGATTGGTAAAACACTGCCTTTCCACTGGCAAAGCGTTGTCAGGAACGTATTATTTGAGCAAAGAAACACAAAGCAATATGATTTGGAAGAAATTGCCGATTTATGGCTGTAGCAATGTCTATGTTTTCAACATGCACTCTGGCTTGCATGGAAACCGCGTTTAGCCATACTGAAGGTGGGTATATGCAGGCATAGATATGTTATGAGTATCCACATGGGGTGCATAGCTGAGCAGAGTTCTAAAGTGCATTTTCGCAATCAGGTGCCTGTCACTGTGATGGGGGTGGTGACCAGCGTGGGTGCCATCGGGACAGTGAAGCGCAAGGCGGACAGCAGCGAAGTGGTGCGGAGGGACATTACAATTGTGGACCAGAGGTGAGACAGGCCATGGGCACCAAAGCCACCAGAATGGCTGGTGCACCATGGCCAATGCGCTGCTGCCCATCGCTTTTTAGTTTGCAAATTAGAAACTAACATTCCAGAGGTGCCTGTACTCTTCAATGGGGTCTACTGCCAGGGATTAAGAACTGCCGCCGGTGGCATGCCATCTGCCATGAGGGTCATTCACGCCACATCGCCGCCACTGGGGTGCCCTGCAAAGAGTCGCTTTTACCCCTGCGGGGAAGAGCATCACTCCCGGCTTTGCTTTGAGTGTGGGGGCAAGATCCTTCGGCGAATTTGATCGATTCTGCGGTTTTGCGAATTGCGAATTTGATCTCCATGTGACCACAGCGCAAACAGGGCCCTTGCTGTCACTAGGCGCCAGTGGGCATTTTAGCATTCTCAAAGCTTGTTCCCACGCTTTGCTGCTGCATCTGTATCACCACACACTGATGCTGAATCGTCCATTCCCACAAATGTGACCCATGCTCGAAACTGTTCAGCTGCTGTTCAACTGTCGAACCTGGACTGCTGACAATCACGAATCAGTGGCCCTGTGTCACTGAGCGTTGGAATATCCTGTGGCGACAGCCTCCGGAGCGTGGATGTGACGTGCTGGGGCAAGCTGGCCGACGACAACGTCCGCGCCATCGAGGCCCTGATGGGGCAGGCCCCCGTCGCGGTCGTCAGCTCCTGCCGCGTCACCACGTTCAGCGGCCTGGCGCTCACCACCCTGTCGCGCAGCTCCGTGTCCATTAACCCGGACAGCAAGGAGGCGCGGGAGCTGAAGGATTGGTACCAGAGGGAAGGCAGCGGACAGCCCGTGGTGCCCATCGGAGAGGGCCTTGAGGGCGTCAAAGCCGGGTGGGCACTGCGCACGCACTGTGTTGCCGTGCTGTGGGAAGAAGAAGAAGGCGCCTTGCGTCCGGCGCCCATTTGGTGATGTAGTGTTGAGAGAGTGGCGAATTGTCGCCACTGGAGTAAGAATCCTTGCAGGCAACGGGACAAATCGACACACTGATCATGTCACGTGACTCTTCTCAACTCGGAGAGTCCAGCAGCGTCTCTCTGCCAGTGGTCAACATCGCCATTGGAGTTTAAAGGCATTGGGGGAAAAATTCAAGTACTTTGATTGACCACGGGGGTGTTGCTGGCAGAGTCGCGGCGGCCTCCAGCGAAGTACAGGGGCAAATAGCGTTTCAATGCGATGCGCTGTTGAGAGCCTAAAACGTGCAGCTTGTCAATCAGTCAGTGACGAGTTTGGCTGAAGCTGGGCGGGATGCTTTTGGCGCTGTCTGGTAGCTGTGCCCAGCCTGATGACAGCCTCCGCGTCGACGCCTTTCGTGTTTCCCCATTCGCGTCATTCGTCATTCATTGGCACCATTCGCGACGTCATTCGCAGATTACTGACGCCGGTTCTGTCCGCCAGGGCCGGGTCCGGGGGCAGCTCCGAGCGGAGGCTTCTCCGCGACTTCCATCCCTCTTCTGACAACCTTCCCTCCCCCGACGCCAAGCCCGAGTACTGCACCACAAGCGCCACGGTGGTGCACATCAACCCCGACCAGAACCTGTACTACCTCGCCAACCCGGAGAACAACAGGAAGGTCGTGGAGCAGGGCGGCAGGTACTACTGTGAGTTCGACCAGAAGTACTGCGACCGGGCGGTGCAGCGGTACGTGATGCTGATGAAGGTCAGCGACCAGAGCGGGGAGTGCTTCCTTAACGCCTTCAACGATCAGGTGCGCCATGTCGATCATGCTGCACTGGCGCCGAAGCTGCTGAGCGCGAAGATCTGGAACCGCCGGCGGCTTTGAGTGTGGAGGATGTTCTGGAAAACTCAGATCCGAACCCCAAGTGGCGCACAGTCCGTGGCGTGTTCAGTTGATTGGGGGAAACAGTACCCACAGTACGCCATGGGGCGCATGGATGCATGTGCAATTCCAATCCTTGCGTCCGACTGTGCGGCGCCCACGGCAAACTGAGGCACTGCAGTGGGACGCTCACCAGTGCACGGCTTTAAACTTCCTGCACGCCAGACATTCTTTTCCAGTTTCCCAAGGCTGCAATGCGAGACGCAACGCGTCGGGCAGCGGTCCGTAACCATCCAGCCGGGCTTGGGTCCAGCGGGCCCGGCTGTGCGCGTCCCATCCCAAACGCGTCATCCGACTGCGCCAGTGACACAGTGCAGTGCGCCACCTGTGCAGCACCTCATTAACGCAAGCGGCACCACTGTTGCCAATGTCACTGATGAATGGTGAATGGTAGCATCGCAACCGCGGTCAAAATTATACTATTCTGGATTTTAGAACTAACATTTCGATTAATCAGACTTTCGCCATCCAGCGCCACTCACATCATTGTAATGTGCAAATATTCAAAGCATTTGAAATATAGAGGTCAGAATTAGAAAATAGGCGCGGAATGAAATTGTGCGAAATGGCATAAACTTAGCCAGTGTGTTGTACCCTGGGGTACCCTAGCAGAAGTGTAAGAGCATCTTGCGGTTGTGCTCTGTGCTCTTACGTTTGGCATACTTACGAACCAAGCATGCGACCAATGGCTTCTGTTCCTCCGTGGCATGTTGGTTGGGGGCTCCACAGTTCCAGTTCTGGTGTGCTGCCAGGCCGAGCAGATCATAGGCGTTCCCGCGGAGGAGATGGCCAAGCTGCGCACCAGCGAACCCTCGCGGTTCAACGCCCTCCTCAAGCGAGCACAGTGGCAGGAGCTGGTCGTCCGCGTGTGCAGCCGGGCGCGCGAGCTGCCGCAGGGAGACGTCAGGATGAGACACACGGTTCAGAACCTGGTGCCCCTGGACTTCGCCGCGGAGTGTCGATTAATGCTGCAAGGCATCCATAAGCGCATGGCGGCCAAGGCGTAGCGGTGTGCCAGCCTGTAACATGGTTGATTGCCGAACACGACGCGCCAACGGCCTCACGCCAAAGGCCAGCATTCGAAGCATGGTGGAGTGGACGTGTGCTCGGCTCTAGTTGTGTCTGGAGCGTGGATGTGCCCGTCACTGGAGACTCTGGCGGCACTGCACCACAACGACAAAGGTGGCGAAGAAGTATTCGTCCGACGAATTCTCTGACGACTGGCATCAACACGGCGCCATGTGCAATTGCGCTAG